AATCTGTTTATGGAGCACTGGCATACCTAAATACTTTCCCAAATCCTTGGTAGCCTTGATACCACTCTCCTCGCTAATCATTCTTGCCAAGTCCCTATGGACATTTTCCGAGGAAAATATTTTCGATTTTTCCAAGCTCGCCTTCTGCCCGGATTCGTTACAAAACCTTTCCAAAACCTTCCTTATAACTCGGATTTGAGCTACAGAAGCTTCAGCAAAGAGAATAAGGTCATCCGCAAAGCAAATATGCGACAAGGTAGGGCCACCGCGGGAAAGGTGAATTGGTTTCCATTCCTTAGACGCAACCGAAATGTCAATAAGGTGACACAATCTTTCCAAGCATAGGACAAAAAGATATGGAGATAGCGGGTCTCCTTGTCTCAGGCCTCGCGCGGGCTTAAACGGCTCAGTTTTCTCACCATTCCACAAGAGAGTCATTGATGGACCCGTAACACATTGCATTATCCACCGAATCCAAGTCACCGACAGTCCCGCTGCTTGTAACGTGTCCTCCAAGAAATCCCAACGAATCCGATCATACGCCTTTTCAAGATCCAATTTTAATAACATCCACCATTTCAGCTGATCCTTCTTACAACGCATTGAGTGGACCGCATACTGCACCACAATGATATTATCCGTACTCAATCTCCCCGGGATAAAGCTAGATTGAGCCGGACCTATCAACTTTGGCATCACCTCCTTAAGTCTTAGCACCATTGCCTTTGTAATTGTTTTAAATAAAACATTACATAGACTTATCAGGAGAAACTGCATAATCTTCTCCGGTTTCACCACTTTAGCAATAAGGACCAAAAGAGCATCATTCGTACCTCCGGGTAGGTCCCCTGTTTCAAAGAATTCCAGAACAAAACGTATCACCGACTCTCCCGTTATGTGCCAGCATTCTTGATAAAAGATCGGTTGATAACCATCCGGTCCCGGGGCCTTCAACTTCCCCATACTACGGACCAATTTCTCTATTTTTTGGCCCGAGAATGGTTTGTTCAGTTTTGTGACTTCGCCACTTGTTAATGGAGTAAAACCAAATTGTGGTAATGATGCCACCACCGGATCCACATCCGTTAACGAATACAATCTGTTGTAGTACTCAATCACCAATGTCTCCAATTCTTGTGTGTTTGAAATCCACACCCCTTATTCATCTTTCAACATCTCGATTCGATTTCGCCGTCTTCTAACTCACAATATATAGCTTGTTAGTACAAACATGAATTCCCATGGAATCGACTCATTTCTATAGAAAAAATTGTCACCACATAAAATTTATATAGATTTGGGTAGTGACACAAATGGTGGCAAGACGTTTTGTAGTGGTAAATGAGAGTACCACAATGTAAAAAATAATAATGGCATTGAAAAGTTAGCAAAAAAATAAGTAAACAACAAGAAAAAAATAAGCAAAACATATAAGAATATATGAAAACTAAAAGAATAACATGAAAAATTCTAGATTTAAATTTAAAACATTAAGGTTTATTCATATTTTATGTTGTACTTTGCTCTTAATGTAAAAAATAAACTTTAACTTATATTTTTAATTTAATTTTTAGCAATACAGTTAAGAAAATTGAAGTTCACTATATTATTAATTATTTCTCCATTCTAAAATTGATAAACACATTCTATTATTTTCAGAGGATCTTTATAATCCACTCTACAATGCGGGATAAATGTTTTCCTAAAAATTTTGTTGTGAATGTTTTCAAAGTTAAGGTTATAATATTATAAAGGATATTATAATTTAAATGTATTACTATTTTATAGTATAAAATTTAGATAGAATATGATTATTTAAGTTCGACATGGAACACTGTGATATATTTCATTTGTTTTTGGAAAGTTATAATGGTAAAAAAATGATTAGTTATGTTTTGTTATTGACTTTGGGTATACGAATTGATATTCGGATCTATTTTTGGTAAATTCGGATTTTCAGCTAACTAATTTCAATCAATAGTCGTAAGTAAATTATTATATATGTAGACTTTTATATACTTACACATTTCTATAATTACCTATATGTTGAGAAATAAAAGTCTTCAAATATTCTTAAAATAGTCTTAGATTATTAATTATATAGTTTTTCCTCATCGTAAATTTTATTAAAAATTACGTAAATATATACGCTAGCGGAAAACAGAAATATCTCAGAGGACATGAAGACTATAAATTACTTTTCGGTGAAGTTTATTTTCATCGACATCAAGACAATTTCTGATTTTGAAAAAAAAAAAACAGTGAATATGATTGAGATTTAATGAGTAAAAAGTATATATATATTTTTTTTTTCAAAATAGTCTCCTTTCTAGGGATGTTTCCGGAAATTTCATCATTCTTCGTCGTATTAATTATATGTTTAGTTGGGATTTTTGTTGTATTTAGGATTTGTTGGTTTGAGCTTCGATACAGTCAAACGTGAAACTCTATCTTTTTTTTTTTTTTTTGTCGCTGATGTTATTAATTCATAAGGGAAATAATGAACAATAGTGTCAAAATGAAAAAACAAACGAAGGATAAAAACAGAGCATAAAGAAAAACAGAGCAATAATCAAAACCAGAGGAGGAAACCAGACGTGAAACTCTATCTAAGCCCTCTTTTTTTTTTTTTATAAACTTTATCAGCTAATCCGGTCAGCCCCGCTAAAAACGCACCGAAGTGCTTCAAAGTAGATTTCTCCCTGAAGGGCTACCACACTATCTGTCCTGAGTTTGAAATATTTTCCGACTAATGTCTAGGGTAGCAAGATCGCATGTTATTAGACTATCAGAAAAACTGCTTGGCCTTTTTTGGCCCAAATCCAAACTTTCCACAAATATATTTTTTTTTTCCAGGGTGGATCGAATCTAGGTTAGTTCCTTCCAACCTTTTCCCAACCACTAAACCACATCTGTGTGGACAAACCCTCTTCCTTTTTTCAGAAATTTATATCCTCGTATGGCCATCTTTGCACGTAGTTTGCAATGTCCATGTTGAAAGGCCTCATGTGGCTTGAAGCCAAGGTGGGAAAAGTATCGGATCTTGCACTGGCAATAACTATACTTTTCTTCTACTAACATGTAGCGGGCCCTTCGAAGTTGCTCCTCTTCAAGAGAGATTTGAGATTCTCCGATGGGCTACTTTCCATAATCTTGACCGTTTTTTCTAAAGCTAAAATATAAATGTTTTAGAGAAAGATACAATTTGTAAACTTTATATATAATAAATAATCATTAATTAAATTTTAAAATCACTACTTTTAGAAAACAAATCACGGGACTGGTTAAGAAATTACGGGACGGGTTATATTTCGGAACGGGTTTATATGGCGGATGGGTTTGAATCAATATTTATAAAATTTTAAAATATCATTAACATGTCGCTTTAATACGGGTTAAATCTTCAATTTATTAACAATTGTTCCGTGGACTCGTGGTATACCGTTACTTAATAACAATTGTAAATTATAAAATATAAATATTTTATAAGGAGATACAATTTGCAAAGTTTTATATATATACTAACTTTAAAAAATAAATTATCCCGCGGTGTAGTTGATTAATATATTAGAATTTAGAAGATGTCTCTAAAATTTAAAAGTAAAATTTTATAATGTGTTAATTTTGCATTATTATTGACGCCATTCCTAGAAATTTGCCGGAAGTAATGTTGCTCATGTTTTCATTGTATTGGTTGATTGTTTGCATGAACAAAATTATAAAAAAAAAAATCATACAGACCTAGCCCATTATAATAATTAATTACATTTGGGCCTAAACTTAACAAGTTTAAAAGCAGCTAACTAAAAAATTAAAAATACAAACTAACCTATACTTCATCATAATCAATTAATCATAAAAATTTCATGCAACAAAGAATGGTGCAAAAAGACATCGAAAATTAAAAATTATCGTGATTCTATTAACTAAAAATTGTTTAGGCTTTTAACATATAATTTTGGAAATTTTATAACTTTTTTTTTTGTCATCTGGAAATTTTATAACTACTAATAGAATTTTTAGTTAATGGAATCAAGATAGTTAATAGAATTTATTTATCGATTAACATTTCTCATGAAGTGTCAAAATTAAAGTATAAAAATGTTTCTTTTATACACATGTAATCATAAGCAAAAGCTAACATAAGCCTATTAACAGTTTATGCTAACCTAAACCTTTTTATATTTCTTTAACATACACATAGAGTGAAAATTACTCATGATAATATATACATATTTTGATCATGCATTCTAATATTTACAATATTTGTGGGAAAAGTCCAATGGGGACTTGGTAGATGGATCGGACTCTTCTTTTGAACTGTTCACACACTCAATAGCACACAAAATTGCTCTACGAAAAAACAAATGGCGACGTGGTGAAAGTTTCGAGGCACTTCATAATTTGTTTTGGAGGACTCGTTGACTATCAAATCTATCAGATGACCACAAGAGTGGTTGAAAAGTCAAATGACATGTTTGATGAGAGTACGAACGAGTCAGTCAGTTGTGGTCCACGTCGTACTCTATCAAACAATACTGAATGAAATTTCTGAATGAATTCAGAGAAGATCATGGCAAGGTGGACGTTTTAAATGAGCCAATATTGTGTTCCAAATAATTCAGTCAATCCAGACTGTATTTACCGTTATTTGGTAAGAGTCCCCGACATCACAATGAACCAACTCAAACAAATATGTATTTACCGTTGTTTGGTAATATATAATATACCTAACATGATCATTGTTCCACCAACATGTTGGCCAGCCCGAGCACAACGTCACGAAAATAAAACCAACAAGAGAACCTCCACGACCCCGAGATTGAAAGAATTTGCTTTGCGGGTAGTCTCACCCCACTAAGGAGGATGATAACCAAGAAATCGGAAGCAGTCATGGTCGGTCCAATAAAAACAGTGGCCTAAATTGAAAAAAAAAAAAAGAGTTGTGGTTTTTTCCATAGTATATAACTTTAGAAAAACAATTTGTATTATAATATTTTTTAGACAATAATTCTTTAGTGAAAACCAAAAAGCAACAAATTTGGTAGCCCTTGAGATACGTAAAAATATGTAAGAAATAAATAATAGATTGGTGGCAATAATAAGCTTTGGCTTTAGCCAGTTTGTTGTCAAGACCGGACATATAAGCAATTCTCAGCCAAATGACCAGTGCGGCCACAACTTGCACATAGCATTTTATCCCTGTTCTCACGAGTTGGGTAGGAGTTTCTCGGTCCGGTCTGAAATGCAAAGGCCATGTTGTTATTTGTATCTTCAACCATGCTCAATGTTCCTTTAGAGTCTTTTTCCTGACTTGGAACAGTGTACGCTCCATCCTGAATCAGAGATGAGTCGATATCAGTAGCCGAGAACCAGTATGAAGCTTTGACGGCAGATGGAGACATTTGGTCGGGAGTTTTTTTTAATAAAAATATGTTGTTTTTGTTTGCGGTGCTTTGTAATAATAAAAGAGATGGGCTTGTCGTCTATTTATAGGGGTTTTTCTCTTTAATTTCTTAGAAGTTTCACGACTTTGATGTTAATATTTCCAAAAAGAAAATGTTTTTGGTCAAGATGTGAATGATCACCATGAACAAGCGCGTTAGTGTAAAAATTGAAACATTCAGTAGTCCCCATGTATAATATAAGATATTTCTGAAGTTGATATCTTTTTTTTTTGGTAGCTTATCCAATAAGTACCCAAAAAAAAAAAAGTACTAAATAACTCATCTTCACTCTGACAAATTCAATGTTGAAGATGAGAGTTCAAAGAGCATAACCAATTAAGTACTAATTGTTGGTGTCGGATCCCGCACCAGTGGACCGGGACCAACCAAAGATTGCCACGTAATCAAGATGAAGGCCCGCAAAGGATAAGGCCCATTAAGCCCATGGATCACAAGATATAATCGAAGTGGGCGTCACCAGAAAGAGAGCCCGGAGTGGTCACACCTCGGGATATGACTCGGAATCAAAGTCGGATGACTTGGGCCAAAAGGCGAAGCCCATGAAGATCGGAGTCAACTCAAATTCAAACATTGGGCATTAAAACTCGAAGACCAAAACGGACGCATTTAAGAGAGAATAATTATGTTTAATTGAGAGTTAAATGTCGATTGTCAATATAAATAAGAGGGCTAATAGCCATGTAAGGGATACGCAATTTTTCCAGCAAATACACTATAGTCATTCCTATTTCAATTCATAGCTTTTTGTATCGTATTTTTGTCCTCAAGAGTATTCATTCCCACAAAATAAACAAATATTCAAGTGTGTGAATCCGACATCCACATTTTGGCGCCGTCTGTGGGGATCTAGAAGATTCTTGAGTTGTCAGATTTCTCTCGTTTCCGAGATAAGCAGCAATGTCTGGAACAAGCATCCCTGATTCGACAGTAGCCGAGGCTCTAAAGACCATGCAGCAAGCCATAACAGAAATGTCGCAGAAGTTCTCGGATGTGGAAAAAGCTGTGGACACGCTTAAAACAACCCAGGTATCTCTTGGTCAAAACATCAATACTATTCAATCTCGTGTTCGTTCTCTAGGTGCAGGAAGTACCGTGGGAGTCCGCAGAAGCATGTTCAGTACGCCAAACTCCCGTGTGCGAAGTGAGACCAACGAACAAACAACTTCTAACCCAACAATCCAACCGGATGTGGAAGAAGAGACGCAGCTCGGAGATGAAGATCAGCTTGTAGATCAGTATGATCAAGAGAGCTTCGATCAACTCGAAACCATGAGGAAGGTTAGCCAGGAACTAAAAGAAATGAAGTCAAAGTTCCACCAGGCCACCAGTTCGGAGCCGGACATTAACCGAGTCATCGAGGAAGCTAGGCGAACTCCTTTCATTCCGCGAATTGCAAATTTGAGAATCAAGGATTCTCGAAAACTCAAACTGGATCCGTACAGTGGATTAGAAGACCCAAAAAGCTATCTCGCAGCTTTTCTGATTGCCGCTGGAAGAGTCGAATTGGATGAAGCTGATGAGGATGCAGGATACTGCAAACTCTTTTCGGAAAATCTTTGCGGTCAAGCACTAATGTGGTTCACTCAGCTGGAACCAGGCTCAATCAATAACTTCGACGAATTGTCGGCTGTTTTCCTGAAACAATATTCTATCCTCATGGATAAAAGCGTTTCGGATGCTGACCTCTGGAATCTAACACAAGGGCCAAACGAGTCACTTAGAACTTTCATCACCAAATTCAAGGGGGTGCTGTCAAAACTCCCAAGAATCTCGCAGCAGTCAGCTTTATCTGCCCTACGAAAAGGCTTATGGCATGACTCAAGGTTCAAAGAAGATCTGATACTTCACAAACCGGACACAATTCAAGACGCACTTTTCCGTGCAAATAACTGGATGGAAGTAGAAGACGAAAAAGAGAGTTTTGCGAAAAGGAACAAACAAGCAAAACCAGCGGTCACTTTCCCTACCAAAAAGTTTGAGCCCAGAGAGAACCAAGGACCTAAAAAATTCGGATCGCAACCCCTCAACAATACCGTCGGGAAACAATTTCAAGGAAAAGGAAGGTCGAACACTTGGGTCCGTGACGAAAGTTTGCATTGTGACATCCATAAGGTAACCGGACACTTAACCAAAGATTGTAGTGTCCTCAAAAAGCACCTCGCAGAGCTATGGGCCAGTGGAGATCTTTCTAATTTCAAGATAGAAGATTTCGTGAAAGAATATCACGAGGCAAAAGATATCCCTAAAGATCAGAATTTAAAAAGACCTAGGCAATCCAACGAAGAAGAACCTAGAAGTTCTAAAGGAAAAATTAATGTGATCATTGGAGGTTCCAAGCTTTGTCGGGATACGATCAATGCTATAAAGAAGCATAGGCGAAATGTTTTATTTAAAGCAAATTTAGGTGAAGAAATGGACTTTCAAGGTACGTCAATATCATTTGACGAAGAAGAAACATGTCACCTCGAAAGGCCTCATGATGACGCCCTAGTCATTACCTTAGACGTTGCCAACTTCGAAGTTTCGAGAATTCTCGTTGATACGGGTAGTTCGGTCGACTTAATCTTTTTAGGTACCCTGGAAAGAATGGGAATCAGTCGGGCAGATATAGTAGGACCGCCGTCTCCTTTGGTGGCATTCACAAGCGAATCGGCCATGTCTCTCGGGACGATCAAGCTACCAGTTCTTGCTAAAAACGTGTCAAAGATAGTAGATTTTGTTGTTTTCGATAAACCGGCAGCTTACAACATCATCCTTGGGACTCCATGGATTTATCAAATGAAGGCAGTTCCCTCGACGTATCATCAATGCATCAAATTTCCAACTCCTAGTGGAGTGGGAACGATTCGAGGAAGTCAAGAAGCTTCACGAACGTGCTATTTGACCAGTCATCGACTAAAGATCCAATAGCAATTAACGAAACCTGCGAAGAAGGAAATTCCAAGATTTCCTAGTGGGCAAAAAGAAGACGATGTGGTAATCGAAGTAGTATTGGAAGAAGATAAACCAGATCGGAAAGTCCGAATTGGAGTCACTTTGACTGGCGAAATAAAAGAAGCTTTGATTGAACTTCTAAGGAAAAACAAGACGTCATTTGCATGGTCAGCGGCCGATATGCCTGGCATAGATCCAAGCATAATCTGCCACAAATTGAACGTAGATCCAAGTTTTAAGCCCGTAAAACAAAAGAGAAGGAAACTCGGAGTAGAGCGAGCAAAGGCAGTAAATGATGAAGTGGACAAACTACTAAAGATAGGATCTATAAGGGAAGTACAATACCCGGAGTGGGTGGCAAACACTGTCGTGGTCAAAAAGAAAAATGGAAAGGACAGAGTGTGTATCGACTTCACCGATCTCAATAAAGCATGTCCGAAAGATAGTTTTCCGCTCCCGCATATAGACCGGCTCGTGGAATCTACCGCTGGGAATGAATTATTAACTTTCATGGATGCCTTCTCGGGTTATAATCAAATAATGATGGATCCCGAAGACCAAGAAAAGACATCATTCATCACGGACAGAGGTACTTATTGTTATAAAGTAATGCCTTTTGGTTTAAAAAACGCAGGGGCAACTTATCAACGATTGGTCAACAAAATGTTCCATGAGCATCTCGGGAAGACAATGGAAGTCTACATAGACGATATGTTGGTTAAGTCTTTGAAGAAAGAGGATCACATTAAGCATTTGGAAGAGTGTTTTGAAATTCTCAACCGATATCAAATGAAGCTGAACCCGGCGAAGTGCACTTTCGGAGTTCCATCCGGAGAGTTCCTTGGTTATATCGTGACAAAAAGAGGAATCGAAGCTAATCCAAACCAAATTAATGCCTTTCTAAACATGCCATCTCCGAAGAACTTCAAGGAAGTACAGCGTCTGACTGGTCGAATTGCAGCCCTAAACAGATTTATTTCAAGATCAACGGACAAGTCTCTGCCTTTTTATCAAATTCTGAAGGGAAATAAAGGGTTCCTTTGGGATGAGAAGTGTGAAGAAGCATTCGGACAACTTAAAGCATACCTCACTACTCCACCAGTGTTGTCTAAACCCGAAGTGGACGAGAAGCTCTATTTGTATGTTTCAGTGTCAAAACATGCAGTTAGTGGAGTCTTGGTCTGGGAGGACCGCGGGGAGCAAAAACCGATTTACTACATAAGTAAGTCAATGACGGATCCAGAGACAAGGTACACAATGATGGAAAAACTCGCACTTGCAGTAGTAACTTCAGCCCGGAAGCTGCGCCCATACTTCCAGTCTCATCCAATCGAAGTGTTAACCAACCAGCCACTCCGAACAATACTTCATAGTCCAAATCAATCCGGACGATTGGCGAAGTGGGCAGTGGAACTAAGTGAATATGATATAGAATATAAAAGCCGGGTCAGCATGAAGGCTCAGGTTTTGGCAGATTTCCTAACCGAACTACCAGTGCTGGGCACACCGGAGCAACCAGAGAATCAGACTTGGAAACTATATGTAGACGGATCTTCATCAAAACAAGGATCTGGAGTAGGAATCAAGTTGGAATCTCCAACGTCGGAAATTCTTGAACAATCATTCCGGCTATTGTTTAATGCTTCTAACAATGAAGCAGAATATGAAGCACTAATTGCCGGACTTCGACTGGCACAAGGGGTTGGAGCTGAAGAAGTGGTTGCTTACTGTGATTCACAGCTGGTAGTTAATCAATTCAATGGCGATTATGAAGCGAAGGATCTAAGAATGGAAGCATACCTTGAAGTAGTGAAGGGTCTTTCCAAGGACTTCAAGAAATTCGAACTAATTCGCATACCTCGAGGAGAAAATACAACCGCGGATGCACTTGCCGCATTAGCATCAACTTCAGATCCTGAGCTAAAAAGAATCATTCCGGTTGAATGTATCGCGGAGCGAAGCATTAGAACTGACAAAGAAATCCTTGCTGTTACAAGATCTCGAGCAGCAGCGCGTGAACGTGGCGAGCCCGAAATCGAGTTGCCACCTGTTAAACGGAGG